TATGCAGTGCCTGAGTGCATTACAGTGCATGTAATAAAGGTATGGCATGGGATAGGCAGTGGCTGAGTGCATTACAGTTTGTGTAATAAAAGTATGCCATGGGATAGGCAGTGCCTGAGTGCATTACAGTGTGTGTAATAATGGCATGGCATGGGATAGGCAGTGCCTGAGTGCATTACAGTGTGTGTAATAAAGGCATGGCATGGGATAGGCAGTGGCTGAGTGCATTACAGTGTGCGTAATAAAGAACTTACATTACAAAGCGTGTAATAGATAAATGCCTGGTCACATAAGAAGCCTTGTGTACCGCAGATTTGTGGAGAAGCCAAGGCCGAAGCCAACATGAGGGAGGCGTTTCAGGAGCTCAGGCGCCATTGGGAGCAAACGCAGTTCTGTCTGACCAGCTTTATTATGACAGAGTGGGGGGAGGAGAATCCATGGAAGACTGTTCCCACCAGCCACATTGAGCAGCCCGTATCCTCCATGTCCTGTGATGGCGGCACATTTACCATAATTGGTGAGAAGGTTACAAATGAGAACAATGTGGTTGTTTAATGTCTGTCCTCCTCAGCATGTCCTTGGATGACAAGATGCAATTATATTTGAAGTTTCCTTTGTAATTAATGATGCATTATTAGTTTTGTTGGTGCTTGAGTCTCCCAGTCTACCCGTACAAACAGATGCAGCAACGAAGCATAGCTGTCTTCAAAATTATGAGAAAGACAGCGGTAAATACCTCAATTGATCACTAGAGGGTGACATTACCTCATAGCTTTGAGCTTACTGTATTGCCCACGTGTTTCACCCTATTTAAATGCTTTGTTCTTTGTTCTTTGCTCTGCCTTGTGTTTGAATCCCCTGTGTTTGTGTTCGAGTCAAAGGTTGCAAGCAGCACTGCTCCTTATTAAAGTTGTTTTAGTCTTGCGCATCAGGTCTGCTCCACTCCTCTAACAGGGGATGTCAGGGAATGTAAGATTAAGAAGGACCAGAACTAGCGCCCCACTGCCCTTAATGCATTATTTTATAAATAAAATGGGGGGGGGGGGTCTTTCTTGCTGGTGACTAATAACATGCATCATGTAAAATGTACAAGTCGATCGAGTGCATTTTGTCAAGCTTTCCGAAATGCTTCAGTGGCACCACAGTCGGTTGTGACCTTTGTCTAAGGTTTGAGCAATAGCACTTCCACCATAGTAACCTGGGTTCAATTCCTGATTAAGGGCCTAAGAAGAAAAACAAATCATGTTATATCTGTTTTCAGGTTGGGAGGACCTTCTGACTCAAACTGAAGACAGTGTGATGACGTTGTCCACCATGCTTATGTCAGCACATGTGGCAGAATTTAGGCAAGAAGTGGAATACTGGGTTCAGCTGCTGCAAGAGCTCGGTACTGTCCGGGAGAGCCAAGTCAGGCGTGTCAGCATGGTTGCTAAGCAACATTTGTCATCAGCGTGTTTATTTCCTGTTTGTTGTGAATCACACAGATGAGCTGCTAGGTTTCTGGGAGAAGTATCAGCAGAGATGGGTCTTCCTGAGCAAAATGTTTTATGAGACAGGTGTAAACATGCAGAAACCAGATCTGGTGAGTTTAACTGTATTTTTAGTGGTATACTTTAATGTTTTTCTTAATAAACTAATTATAGAATTTTAATTTCAGGTTTTGCACATGAAAAGTTTTAAATAAAAATTAAATACATAAACATATACATATTTAGGTACAGAGAGATTGCATTTCTTATTTTTCAGTAATTGGAATATTACTATTTATAAATTGGCAAAGAGCAGCTGCATTTGTGCTTTGCAGCTAATTACTGGCGCTGATTCACCTTGCTGTGGTTGTTCCTTTACAGGTTGAGAGGTTCTGTCAGGTTGATATGACATACAGGGAGATGGTTCAGACCATAGCAACAGACCCCCATGTGCTCAGCATCGTGCAGCCGGTGGATGTGAAAAGACAGGGACGCTTCCAAGGGCCAAGTCTGCTTGCAGTCTTTATGGAGGGATTGTCTGTCATGGAAGGGATCTGTAACCAGCTGCTTCTCCTCCTAAACTCACCACGTAAAGAATTCCCTCGACTCTGCTTCCTCAGTGACGGGGAGGTGAACAAGCTTCTCTTCCTTCACCCCACGCCGTCCCTGTTACTTTCAACAGTGAGGAAATGTTTCCGAGGTGTGTGCTGGCTGAAGGTTAATGCCGGCAGCACCGAGATTATTCACCCTAAGGAGATGGACATTAATAGTAGCATTGCACTGACTAATACACAGCTGAGGGTTTGGGGTGTAATTGGACCTCTGGGGGAACAGGTGAGCTTTCTCCAGGTCCTGGAACCCAGTGTTGATGCCGTGGTTTGGCTCATCCAGCTGGAACAGCAGCTACAGTGTGCAATGGTGCAGCTGACATATCAATGTACAGCTGTGCAGGAGTCACCTGAGCCTTTAGCTAAAGATAAAATACTGGAAGATGTACCTTCACCCAGTGGTCAAGGTTCACCCACTGGCCTCAGTAGGCAGGACAGAGGGCAGAAATCAAAAGAAGCTGACAGGCTTACTTCATTCTGGAACCTTCTATTAGACTTTCCTCTGCAGTGTGTGCTCCTGGCAGAAGAAGTGTTATGGCGCAGAGAGATTGAGGAAGCTTTCCTGAACCCAGCGCCAAGTAAGAAAATCAGTCTACGAACCCGTTATACTGCGAAACTGAAAATATTATGTCGCATGATCCAGAATGGTTTTGCTGGCTTCGATGGAAGATTCCAGGATTATTACTGTACTACAGTGCTACAAGCTCTGATTCTACTCGCCATAAAGCATAACCGTCAGATTGATGGGCTCCTGAATCTAAAGGCCAACTTGGAGTCATCTTTTGAGTGGCATAAGCTATTGAAATATCGATTCAGTGTCGGGGATCAAAGTGGGCAGAGTAATTTATCCATGACTCAGGGGGATAATGAATTAAAGAAGCAATACTGCTTTGTGGACATCTTGGATTCCCAGTTCCCCTATGGTTATGAGTACCTGGGCCCAGATCAATGGATTATGGTTAATACTCTGTCCTCAGACAGAGCGGCTATGGGGATCCTTCTCGCTCTGAGTACCTTCAGGTGTGCTTTTGTCAGTGGGCTCAGTATGTCAGGGAAGAGTAAGACTGTGGCCCACCTTGGTGCAGCACTTGGGCAGCCAGTGGTCACTTTGCAGTGTTCCCAGACTACAGCTCCAGTGGTTATTCTGAATATGCTTCTAGGTGCCCTGCAGACTGGAGCTTGGCTAGTGCTAGACGCTGTGGATTCTTTGCTGCAGGGCACACTGTCTCTCCTGGGGCAACATCTGTCTGATATTCATGTGTCACTCTCAGCTATGCAGGGCTTTGGTTGGTGTGAGCATGCGTCTGAGGAGCTCCGCTGCTGGGGGCAGATATCGTTGGCAGGGAATCCAGTTTCACCCAGATTTGGCTATGGCTGTGTGATAATTTCATCAAGCCGTCACATATCTGATGTTCCAGAGAATTTTCGACTTGCCACTCGGCCCGTGTCCTTGGCTAAGCCGGACTACAGGCTCATTGCTGAAGTGTCACTGACTGCCCTGGGATTCTCAGAATCTGCCTCGCTCAGCTGCTGCCTGGTCACTCTTTGTAGCCTTGCAAAGGATTCACTCTGTTTCCCAGAATTCCTCACTAATGGTTCATCATCTTGGCTTCTTCTTCTGAAAAAAGTAATTGATGTTGCTGGAGTATACCTGTATCAGCTTTGCAAAGCCTGGCTAAACGACAAGGACAATGTAATCAGGGGGAAGCTGGGACAAGGGACGTACTTGTCAGGCACAGCTCTAAGACTGGAAGAGGAAACAGAAAGTGAGGGCAAAGATCCACTTATGGGCCACCTCAGATGCAGCCGCCAGGCCTCTGCCCTTCTGCATGCAGTAGTTGAGGAGCAGGCCGTCATCAAAGGTGTAAAATCTGTGCTCCTGTCAGCCATATCTGACCCCAGAAAGGCCTCGCACTTCTGCACCATTTTTGAAGAGATCTTCCAAGCTGCTGCCTGCCCTTCCCTTTATTCACAGTACACAGATGAGGCTGAGCTGGTCATCCTCAGGACAGCAGTGAATGAGGAGCTACAGGAAAGTGGCCTGCACCCTGATCCCATAATGCTTTGCAATGCATTATCACTGTATCAGGCTCTGAAACGTGACCAAACAGTGTTATTAGTGGGACACCCAGGAAGTGGCAAGACAATGTGTTACAGAGCTCTGTCTGGAGCTCTAAGGAAGCTGGCAGCACAGTTTCAACAGGATGTTAGTAGCGAGTGCAGGAGTTCTGATATGGAGCAGAATTCCCCAAACTGGACGTCTGTTAACACAGTTCACATATTTCCTAATAGCTTATCCCACAAAGAATTCTGGGGAAGCTGGAATGAGGGGCAGGATTGTTGGTGTGACGGGGCATTCACGAAAGAGCTTAGAGATTCAGAGTCACGATGCTTCTCCATCACCAGCCAGGTCCCGAAGGTAAAATGGCTGGTTCTGGACGGGGATCCTGTGGCTCAGCCGGGTTGGCTGGATCCGTTCAGCACCATATGCAATCCTGAAGATCCTTTCCTGTCCCTTCCAACTGGAGAAAAGATACGTCCATCGCTAAGGGAACTAAAAATTCTGGTGGAGGTGTCAAACCTGGAAAATGCATCGCCATCAGTTATCACACGCTGCAGCCATGTATACCACTCTGGGAAGGAAATATGGAGAGCTGTGTGGAAGGCAGAGCTGCAAGCCCTCTACAGGGAGCAGGGTCTCGACGAGGTGACTCTGAGGATGTGGACCCGACTGTCAGAAGACTTGTTTGACAGCACCCTCATCTTCCTGACACGCGAGGTGTCTGTGCTGCCTGAAGATGGACAAGAAAAACTCAGCAGAGGGGTTGTGTATGGGTTACAGGAAGTGATGTCATTTATTAGAATCCTCCATGCATTCTTGGTGCATTTTGGGAATGGCAGTACATTGACACCCCAAACCTATAATAATGAAGGTAAATGCAGTTCCTTAAATGTATATAAAACCAACAGCATTTAAATATAGGCATATTTATTTCAGTTATTCATATTCATTTAAACACCCTGCGGTGTGTTGGCGCCCACCCAGGGTTGGTTCCCGCCTGTGACCATCGTTCCCGGGATAGGCTCCGGGCCCCCCACGACCCCAGTGGGGATTAAGCGGTCATGATAGTGGATGGATGGATATTCATTTAAATATATTTGAGAATCCCATTTTTGTCATGTAACAGCGAGGCACGGCAGTGCAGGGAAACAGGCGCGGGAGTCCAGGAGTATAGGTAAAAACACAGGATTTATTAGGGACAAAACACTCAGGAACACAGAACAGCTCACTATGTTAAGATGCTAATAATCAGACTACGGAAAGACTCACAAGAAAGCTCTTAAATACACAGAATCAATTAGACAAGACTAGGTACAGCTGGTAACCAGGAGGAATCCATACGAGGTAAATGAGGGGGCGTGGCACACAGGAGGAACGGCACGATCTGGATGTGGCAATTTTCATTTTGTAGGGGATGCAGATTTTGCAGCCATTATTCTTCTATGCCAACTGAGTAGAAGAATTAATCCACAATATTTTAAAGGCAAATCTGAGTTAAAAAAAAAAAACCCACAGTTTCAGTTCTAAGACTAAATACTCTGAGGTGAAATATAGCAGTAATGAAATGCTTACTGATTGATCAGATTATCACTGGCCTTGAGGTGTACACTGATACTGTTCTGTGGCCTGGTTCTAGTGGCTGCACATCCACAGTCCCCTGCAGAGCCGGTGGTATCCTCTGGCCCACAGGAGCAGCAGATGCGGAACCTCTTTGTTGTAGCCTACATCTGGGGCTTTGGGGGACACCTGAATCCCAGGTTAGCATTTATAATAACGTAGTACTGTATATTATTAAAAGCAGGTTTTATTGCCTTTCTTTTGTTCTGTTGTTGGGTGACTGAACATTTTCTTAAACACTGCTGGCGTTTCATGTTCCTCTTGAAGTCAAACATAGGTGACATTACCTCACCCATTACCAATGCTGCATTTAGATTAGAATAGTGAATCTTTATTGACCCCCAGGGGGAAATCCTATAACATTTTACTTAAAGCACCCATGTATAATGCATCACAGATACCTTCATTATGCATTATGATGCATTCATAAAGTATTATACATATGGCTATAACTATTTATAAAAAGGCAAAACACTAATGTCATGTTTATTATGCATTATGAATGCTCTGTGAAGCTCTCATCTATAATCCAGAATAGAGTACCTTCATAATGCAGTACCAAGCGTCCTTAATTCTAATAAGAACTATTATAATTCATTATGAAGGTATCTATAGTGCATTATAGGTATGAGCTTCATAAAGCATTCATAATGTATAATAAACATAGCTATAATGTGTTATGCCTTTTATAAATAGTTATAGCCGTGTTTATAATATTTTAAGAATGCCTTTTAACTACCTAAAATGCACTGTGATGACTGCTTTAAGTAAACTGTTTTGCAAAATTCCCCTTACCCCATCTTGCACTCCATGAAGCTTGGGGTGGGGGGTGGGGTGTCATAGGGAAGGACAGGTACCATGTGGTGCCCAAGAAGCTGGGGGTTCAGGACCTTGCTCAAGGGCCCATGGACATGCGGCTATTCTGCAGAGGCCGGGCATGAACCAGTGACCTTTGGATCACAGCCGCTGAGGCTTCACCCACTGAGCCGCACACGACTGTGTAATGTCCTTGGTAGTAAACCTTTCATTCATGCATTATTTCATTAGTAATTATATACATATGGCTGGTGACTGGAGAATCTGTTCTATGGCTTCTCCCTAGGTATTGGCCCCGGTATGATGCTTTTGCCCGTGAAGCCCTATACCAAAGCTGCTACAGGGTGGAGGTGCCTGCTGGGGGGCTGATATTTCACCATTTTATCAACTTTAATGAGGGGCCCCAATGGGAGGCCAGCACTGGTATCTGTAGCACTGGGAAGAGAAGCCTACACCTTTCCTACCCTATCATCCCACAGGTGTGCTCCAGGCACGATATTGCACTAATTTATCTGTGATATTTATTTTATATTCCATCTACTAATTCGATAGGATCTGACTGGCACTTACCTTGCTATTTTCATTTCGGAACGGCCATATAGTGACTACAAGCTAAATACTAATCTTCAAATGCATGTACATTAATCCTGTTGCCTGTTCTTGGCAGTATGAGAAGCATGCCTTCCTGTTAGACCTGATGCTAGAAGCCCGTCAGCCAGCACTTGTGATAGGGGAGAAAGGATCAGGAAAAACCACACTGTGCCGATCCTTACTGAGCCGGGAACGACCACATCGGCGCCTCCCTGCAAGCCCCTGCCTGACGACCGCTGACTTACGAGGAATTCTGGAGAATTTGGGATGCCAGAAGACAAAACTGGATAACATGCCTGTCGGTGTTCAGAAAGTTGGATGCCTGCTGTTTGTAGATGATCTACACAGTGCCCCTTGTGGTAGGTGGTCAATAATGCGTTTGGTCAATTATGAAATTATTAATCCTTTGTTGCTGAACATGTTTATTGGAATTTATCGTTTCTTATTTATGTGCGGCTTAGATGATTTTGGGACTTCTATGGCTCTGGAGACACTGCGTCTCTCCATGTCCAGAGGAGGTGTGCTGACCTCTAACGGCCTCCGTTTCAAGCTCTTCAGGTCAGGAGCTTTCAGCTACCTGGCTACCTGCAGCACACCTGGAAAGGACCACCTCAGCTATGGTAGCATCACGCCACGCTTATCACGTCTCTTCTCCATCTTTACGTTACCTGACCTGTCAGAAGATGTCTTGTTCTCTATACATCATCCCAGACTGCAGCCGTGGCTGAAAGAGGTCCAAATCACGCCCCATCTGAAAAACGTATCTGCCTGCATCATTTCTGCAACTCTTGACCTGTACCATCTTGTGCAAGAGAAATTTCCCCGCAGCATGGAAAGGCCCTACCTCATGTTCTCCCCATGTGACTTACAAAAGGTGTTTCTAGGGATGTGCCTTTGGGGTCCACAAAGATCTACCAGACAGCCGACCAGCAGCATACACACGTCAATCTCACAGTCCTCGTTCTATTTACACCCCTTCACGATGGCTACTCACGGGCCTTTAGCTGACTTGCTCACTATTGTCCGCTTGTGGATGCACGAGTGCTTGCGTACATTCGGGGATCGCCTCTGCTCTGAGCAGGAGAAAAAACTGCTGATGTCGCTTATAGTTCAAGTTTCTGAAGTGACCTTTGGTGAGCGGGAACCATCCCAGCATCCCGCAGGCAAACTGGGCACTGAGCCTAGCACTGTGTGTTCAGCCCCAGTTACGGAAAAAACACATTTGAAGAAGAGTCCACGTGCTTCAGGCAAATACAGAAACACACAAGGGGAAGAGTGGATCTCATCCAGCTCAGAGATTGAGCATGAAGACACTCATGGCAACTCAAAGGATTTCCCATTTAAGGAAACCAATTTTAGCTCCAGAGTCAGTTGCTTTCTAAGCAAGGAGGAACTACAGAGTGAAAAATTCTCTAAGAGTTTTGAAAATGATAACGTTTCCCAAGGAATAAAAGAAGAAATGACGAAAGATATGAAGCTAAAAAACCTTGGGCTTCAACCAAACTTTGGACCAATGTCTGATGATATGTCAGACCCTTCAGTGTTATGGCCTTCCCCCCCTAAACAGACTAAGCCACTGGACAAGTCTGATTGGAAGAGAAGTTTTAAATTGGTTGGCCAGTGTCCACAGAAAAGTGTCTTAAACCCAGTAACAGTGACTACACAAAATCCCGCTCTTTGCTTGGTTCCTTTGGATCTGCTCCGGGGCATGGAGATCACTGTCCAAGATGCAGTCTTTAGCCCCGAGCTTTCTGAACAAGTGCATTCCTCAGCTCAGCAGAACTTCAAATATAACACCGCATACCTAGAGCGGGACCCAGGTATACTGGACCAACAGCTGCGAAGAATCATGAAACTCAGAGTGGAGACGGAATTAACTGAGCCAGGCATCAGCTGCCATGGTTATGCTATGTTCGGGCAGAGACTGCACCAGCTGGCACATGTCCTCCGTGCCTTGCTCATTCCTGGGGGGCATGGTGCCTTGTTTGCAGCAGCAAAGGGCACAGGGCGCAGGACCAATGTGCGACTCGCGGCCCAGCTAACAGGCTGCCGACTGCTGGAGGTTCATGCTGGTAATGAGGCAATGTTACACCAGTTACTGAAGGAGGCTGCCACCCGCAGTGGGCTGCATGGCAGTAATGTGGTTCTATTAGTGCATGATGATGTCAGCCAGCCTATCAGAGATGAGATTCTGTTAGCTATGGCCAATGGCAGCTTTCCGGACCTCCATTCCAATAAGGAACTGAAGAACATGATAAAGAAAATCAATGCAAAGATAATGAACTCATGCAATCAGCTGAGGGAAGAGGAAGGGCTAGCAAAGTAAGTATATTTAACATATTTTGGTAAATGCAATGTCTATAAGAATCTATGAAAACATTCAAAATACATTATAATGCATGTATGTAAAAAGGCATAACACATTATAGCCAAGTTTATTATGTATTATGAATGCTTTATGAAGCACTATAATGCATTATACATACATAATACTGACCATTATAATGCCTTATGAAGGTATCTACAGTGCATTACAAATAAGAGCTTCATTGGAGCTTATGAAGTACAATAATGTACTGTAAGATGCTGTAATGCTTTATTAATTCTTATTCTGACCATTATAAAGCTTTATAAAGGTATCTATAATGCATTTTAGAAGGAGGAGTTCAGTAAAGTGTTACCAGTATTTCAACCAATGTGTCTGCTTGCATATATTCAAATTACGGTCCTCGAGGTCCAAGCACTGCTGGTTTTCCAGCCTTCCTTTACCTGTCAGTCAGGTGTGAAGCCTCTGACCAATCAGAATCAGTAATTATTGAACTAACTACATGGGAGAACTGAAAACAAGGCTTGGATTTGGAATCGATACAGATTTGAAGAACCCTGCAATATATGCAAAATATACTACTCATGTTTCTCTGATTCTTTATCCTGCCTTTGTACTGTAATGGTACTGTTTCCATGCCTGTTTATTAGAATACTTACGGGGCGCTGTACAGTATGTCTCTGAGGGTCAGCATTGGTGATCAGAAGGTCTCCGATTCAGGTCCCATGGCTACATAATGTCACTGTTGGGCTTCCTGAGCAAGACCCTAAACCCCAGTTGCACCAGGGGACCAGAATCGCTCATCCTCACTTTTACGTTGCTTTGGACTAAGGTTTCTAATAACCAAATAAATGTAGTATATCATGCCATAAAAGTATTCCTGCACTTACAAAATACATCCAATGTATCAGATTCTTTCATCAGGTCGAACAAAACATGCATGTGTTCCTGATCATGCCTCTGGAGTCCAAAATGTTGGAGCAAACTAGGAAACTCTTATGGAGGTCCATTGCCAGGGCCTTGGAGCTCTGCTGCTGTGTGGAGGTCTACCAGCCATGGAGTACTCAGTCCTTAATAGAGGTTGCTGCTCATCACCTGAAGCAGAACATACAGGCGTCTGATTTGGGTGTCCAGGGTAGGTCATCACCGTGCGTAGGTATGGCAGAGCTCCGAAATACATTTTCCATTTATAATGTTAGTAAGACTTCTGAGCAAATATATTTTGTGATATTATTTCCATCTCAGTGGACAGTGCTACCTGGCTGAGCTCAGTCCCCCTGATCATGGCAGGAATTCACCAATCAGGACTGGCGTACACAGAGACTCTGCTTCCGCATATGCACCTTTACAGCCCCCAGACACACGCACAGCTCATGGAAAACTTCATCTACTTATGCAGACATCTATCTGATAAGATTAAGGATGAGGCCAAGAAGTAAGGATCATTATTCACCGCATAGATTTTTGATACGTGTCTATTTCACATAAATAACCAATGACTAATACATATGAAAATGTTTATTCCTAAGTAATTGACGACTATATTTATGTATGGTTTTGCAGAATGACCACAGTTCTAAGTCGTTTGAAGGACATGATGAACGAGGCTGATCAGTACAGAGAGGACGTTCTGACGATCAGAACCAAGTTGACTAAAGCACAACAGGTAAATCCGAACATCAGCCAGGTAAACGTGACAAGCAGAGATCGCTATCTGCGGCACTACGCAGGGGAGAGTAAACACAAGTTTATCTTTGGCTTGCATCTTCTGCATGTGTGGGGATCAGCTCCACAGCCACCTGCAGCATGAGGTGAAGACGGCACAGGAGCTTTATGATCAGGCACGGCAGGACCGCCTGCTGGGGGAGGAGCAGCTGGCCGGCCTGGAGGGGCACAAACGGCGGGCAGAGCAGCAAGTGGATGACGCCTTTCAGCAGGTTAGGCACTGCAGGGCTCTGCCAGGCCTCCAGCAATCTCCTCTGGGGAGGATAATCTGCTGACCAGCATGTTTCTCTCCCGTTCCAGGGATGGTTATTAGACACCGGCAAATATCCTTGACATAGCATAGCTATGACTGGGACCAGGGGGCGTACCTAGAAATTCAAGGACTCCTGACAAAATGTCACCTTGGCCCCCTCGCCCAATTTTATGTATTTTACTTATGTAAGGGCCCTTTTCAAGTGCTGGATACCCTGAATCTGCCAGGTTCTCCATGCCCCATCCATGCCTTTAGTTGGGACACCGCAAGTGAAGCGAACGTCATGTTTTAAGATGGTAAATCACCAGGTGGCATCAGTAAGAAGCATGCGCTGATTACAGCGCGTTGCCACATCCACCACACGACAAACCACCTCAGGGATGAGAACCTGAGTGCAGCCATGTGGCGGGTGATACCTCAGCACCACACTAGTCCGAATTTTATTTTTATAAAAATAAAAAAACACTGACTGCAGGAGATTGATTCAAGAAGAATATTTTATTGATTGTACAGGTATATGGTGACATACCATGCACTGCAACTGCAGTCTAGAAAACAAATGCATTTCCATGTTTATGTATAACATATGAAACTAAAAAAAAAACAAATTACAAAATCGAAAACAATATATACATACTGAAACTCCAAATGCTTTCTACAATTGCAGCCGATCCTGTATATTGGGCCACATGTTCTCATCCACATCACAACAGATATCTTCCTTTGCAATGCAGCGGGGAAAGAACCTCCTAGAATGTCTTATACAGCCTCTGCAGGCGTCTGCTGTTATATCCCGACATGCAGCTTCCATGGCAGCAGGCAGTATCATTTGTGTATGTGGGTTATGGTCATATAGCTTCCACCTCCAAGCTCAGCAGAACTCCTCAGTTGGGCTGAGGAATGGGGGATATGGTGGCAGGAATTCCATCAGCATCCTGGGGTGGTTGGCAAACCATTGCCTGATTGGGTTGGAATTATGGAAACTCATATTATCACAAATGATCACATACTGTGGTACATTTTCTTGACCAATCTCCTCTTCAGGAAGGAGATCCCTGTAGAGGGTGTTCAAGAAGATAAGCAGATGTTAGGTGTTGTATGGCCCCACAAGAGGGATGCGAGTGTGGACCCCATTGTCCGAAATAGCCGCACACATTGTGTTATTCCCACCCTTCTGGCCTGGCACATCAACAGTAGCTCTCTGTCCAATCAGATTACGCCCATGTCTTCTTCCTTTGGTCAAGTTGAAGCCAGCCTCATCCATGTATATGAAGATATATTCCAGGTCCATTATACACTGTATCGAACAAGATACTACAGTAAGTTTGATGTAAAATGCATTTTCATTTTGGAGACAATAGAGTCAAATCTAACATATTCATGTTGCTTTCACAGCGGTTGCAAATGTGTCAAGGTGAAATCAACTGTACTGCATGTCGATATACAATTTTGGACTATTTGCTGTACAGTACATTACAGTTACAGTATTACTGTACATGCTCAGTCTTACCTGCACATACTGGTACTGACGTTCATTCACTCCTTCACTATTCCTTTCAAATGGTACATAGTATAACTGTTTCATACTTCTCAGCACTCTGTCAATATAGTTGAGATGCTGACATTTTTAGGGGACTGCTCAGTGATTAGTTGCTTGATTGATCAAAGATCTCACACAAGCCCCTAATAATGTTTCACCTATACATTTGACAGCCAATGATATCTTTTTGAACACTTTTGACTGCAATGACTTACACAATGACAAAATGACAAGTTCGTCTGGAGTGTAAGACTATGCAAAAGAGGGCTAGCACAAAGCATTTTAGTCATCATGACATAAGCAACCGCCTGTATGATATAGCTGAGAATTGCACATAAGCATCTGCCTGAGTATACTAAAGCAATTGCAAAATGACGAAAACACCCAGAAATTGCTGTTATGATGTGCACAACTGACTAGAGGTTGTGGGAACTGAACGAGCAGTTTTGAGAACTACAATTCTGTTGTGAGAAATGCACCAAAGCAACTGAGAAAAAGTGTAAAGTAATCAAGCGTGCCATAAACCCACAGTGCTAATCGATTCATTGGAAGGCATCGGTGTTGCTTCATTTGTTTGCTGTTTGTCAGGCTTGCCTGTACCCTTTGTTTCTCCAGGTGAGTCCTTTGTACCAAGCCGCCGTGCAGGCAGTGCGGTCTCTCAGCCAATCAGACGTGAACGAGGTGCGACACTACAGGCAGCCCCCAGGCGGCGTCATGCCCGTCATGGATGCCATCTGCTTGCTGTTCGGCTGCCCCAGCGGCTGGGAGAGCAGCGTGCAGCTCATGTGTCAGCCCAACTTCTTCCAGGTCAGAGGCCACGACCAAATGAATTCGTCTGGTTTGTGTTTTTTGTCTTCACCGTCATAAACATGACCTGATATTGGTCACGGTATGATACTGTCACAGCATGCATGTAGACAGCAAATAGAGCTCAGCTGCCTATTAAAGCACATTTATATTTTGATAACAGATGTATGTTCTTGTACCGATCAGGCGACAGCCCAGGCATGGACACACTAGAGGACTGGGGCTTATAATGACCAGTGAAGTGAAGGTTTTCAGTAGTTAAACTTCATGAACTACTTTATAAAATTATCTGTTATGTTAATTATAATTACATTTTAGTTAAAGTGCAATCTGATCTATAAGTCCTAATCGAGAAAGATGGCATGCAAAATGGATGTCATTATTGAAGATCAGATCACATTTTAAGACAAGAATTTTAGACATGATTCACTCTGAGTAGCTTTACTTTAGCACTGATCCTGCTCTGAAGATTGTGGATCAGAACGTTATTTCTGAACGGAAGGGGGACAGAGAGGTTTTTGTGGCATGGAAGCAGCCAGATGATTATAGCTGTTCTGCCGTCAGGAGCTGGCTGTCTATGACCGGTCCAGGGTGCACGGCCAGCTGTTTGAGGCCCTGCAGCAGATGGTAGAGCGGCCTGAGCTGCAGCCTGAGGCGGTGCGTGGCGTGAGCCGGGCCTGCGAGTCGCTGTGTCTCTGGGTACACGCTGTCTACCAGCACGCCTGCGTGCAGCGCCACATGGCGCCACAGGAGGCGCACCGTGCTCAGCTGCGGGCCCGTCTGGCAGAATGCCAGACCCAGCTGCATCTGCTCCAAGTGCAAGAGGAAAGCGCTCACCGGCTGCTACGGGACTCAGAGAAGCGTCTGCGGGCTGCTGAGGAGGAAGGGGAGGAGCTTAAAGAATGGCTGCACCAATCAGAAAGCTGGGAGCAGGAAAATGCTGCTGCCATTCGCTGGCTGGATCCGCATATTAAGGCCTGGAGATCTGCGGCCGAGGTGGGGTCACCGCAGTCCATGTTCTCGCACTTTTACATGCATAAAGTATTTATAATCTTCCGTGTTATAGAAAACATGTTTGTGAGATTATGGAACTATTCAAGCAAAATTTAATCAATCTGCCCCAAATCAAGAAGTGTTAAAGCTAGACTGAATGCACTATTAGTCACAGTTGAATTTAAGTACATAAAGTCTTCTTTATGATAAAAAAAAAAAAAAATCGAAATAAAATGCTAAAACATCATCCTCGTCCGCTTGTGTGCAGAGGACAGAGGAGGCTGGTAAGACAGCCCCAGGTGACGCTCTGATCTTAGCCGCAGCTGTAACCTACCTGGGGCCTTTCGGGCCGGACGTGCGGTGCGAGCTGCTGGAGAAGTGGGGTGAGCTGTGCTGCTCAGGCTGGATCAGCCCCACCCCTGAAGATCCCAGGAGAGCGCCGCTCAGTCCTCCAGGGCCCGTCCCAGCAAACGCAGCTGGCTTTGTGCCCATGCCAGTGGCCAGGGACGTGCTCCTCCCTCTGTCCCGAGCTGTGGGCGTAGCTCACGGGGCACATCCGAGCTCCAAGCCCTGACTGCTGATAAAATTGCTGTTGTGGGGACACCGGGTCCATTGTGCACGACACTGGCCCCTAATGGCAGATGTGCAGCAGCGCAACAAGCTCAGCTCAGCGGATAAGGGATGGACAGGTGACCTGCTTATCAACCTCTATGTCTCTTATAGAGGTGGGGTGGTATAATGGATTAGTAGTGTTGACTGACACACCTATGGTTAAGGAAGCTAATGGTCTTGATTCCTACCCTGCTCTGTGTATTTTGTGTATTTTGCGTGATTATGTTTGTGTGTGTGGAAAAGCGATGGACCCCCATCCCATCTGGGACATACACAGCCTTATACCCTGTGTTACTCCAAATAGGCTCCAAATGTCCTTGCTTGTGACCTTGCTCAGGAGTGTAGTGTAGCGTACTGGTAGTACTAATATAGATATATAGATAGAAGTGTTCAGCAGTTATTTTATTGATAGTGTCTTGTCTTGCAGTTGGGTTCTTTATGAAGGACTGCAGTGCTTGGGATGGGAGGGGTTATGATTTAGTTGTTGATGCTAATGACCCCACCCTGCTGGACAAGATAAGGCAGAGTGCAGAAAAAGGTAGGAGGCTCACTATACACACCTGGCTGGGGCCTTGCAGTGCCTTTGCGGATATTTTAAGAACCTTCTTAGTACTACAAAGGCTCATTTTGCTGTTATGGTGAACTGCTCCTCAGGGTCCTTTTTGTGTAAAGCAACAAGAGCGTCTCTGCTATTTTCATGAGGCATTACAGTAATATTGACCACATTTTAAATAAAACATCGAAGGCTCAATTTTACTTACCAGAAAAATGCACTTTAATAATTTAGCATGTGTAGTGCTGTATTTATGTAACGACAAACTATAAATGACTACACTTTCTCCAAATGGCTGAATGATTCTTAGTTACTGAATGGTGATGCTTGTGCGTTTGCGGTCTCTGCAGGCAGTTCAGTGCTGGTCACACATGTGGAACTGGCTCGTCCGTCCCCCGAGCTCCTGCGCCTCCTGCTGCGCCCCAGCAGCCGGGCCCCACCTCTGAGCTCACTTCCTCAGACTGTCCACCCCGAGTTCCACCTGGTCCTCAGTACCCCCTTGCCTGTGCAAGCTCTACAGCATGGTGAGAATAAGTCAGATATGAGCACAAACACCGTTTCCTCTCATCGCCTGATCCCTGACACTATCTTCTGCAGAGATCCACCCCTCGATACTGGCCAAGGTGCAGGTGATCGACTTCTCCCTGGGTGCGGCCGAGGTGCAGGACGTCCTCCTGATGGAGATGGTGCAGACCAAATGCCCTGGGCTGTGGAAGCAGCGACGTCTCTTCTTAAGAGATCAACAGGCTCTACTGGACAAACTGCAACAGGAAGAGGTCAGAAGAGGGAAACATACTTGGAAATAATACCAGAAATTGTAGATAATATGTAGCTGGCTTCTGTAAAGACCACAAATTAATATGGTTAATTTATCAATTAAATGTTTGATTAAGAGACCTAAAAACCCTCCGATTGGGCACGTTGAAGGCTTGTCTTTATTGACTGGCTTCATTTCTGTTTATTTCACAGACCTCCTTACTGGAGCACATCCGTCAGTCATTCAGCCCAGTGTTGCAGGACCTGCACTTCTGTCCCCTAGTGTCCACTTATCAGAATGCAGCCTCAGGCCTGCAGGCCGAGCTGGCGGAGGCGACCCTGGGGGTGGAGCGCCATGATGCCATGCTCGCTGCCTTCCATGGGGCAGCCAGGCTGGCAGCGGACCTCTATCGGGCACTGCAGGAGGTCGCTCGCCTCTGCCCACTTTACCGCTTCCCGCTCTGTGACTTCCTGCAGGTGGTGAAGGAGGCCATCGTCCTAAATGAGCACCTGGATGCAAACAGCGGAGGGCAGCTGCCAGCCGCCACGGTGATGGCGGCGATCACGGACTCGCTCGCGCGCCGCGTGCTGGGGCACTACCAGCCCCACCTCTTGCAAGACCATGTGACCCTGCTGTGGCTGCTGGTGTCTGTATCTCTTTGCCAGCACGACGAGGGCTCCTCTGAAGCTGAAAGGGTCGCCTTCCTCCATGGACTGGCAACAGAGCCCTCACCTGAGGCTAATGAGCCAAAAGCTCTGACTTCGCCCTGTCCCACTTGTGAACCATCATGGATTCCTTTGCACACACACTCAAAGGTGCTCTGCCTGGAGAAGCTGCCCCCGTTCGCAGGTTTACTCTCCTCCCTGCAGGCGTATCCTGAGCGATGGCGGGAGTATCTGCGCTTCCCATCCTCCACAGTCATGGGGCCCGTCCCGTTCTCGGCCTTCAGCCAGCTCTCCACCCTGCAGCGTGCTCTGCTCTGGAAGACCCTGCTCCCACACTGCCTGGCTGCCGTGGCGGACGACCTGGCAGCCTGCCTGCTGGGCCAGCCCGCTGGGGCCTCCTTCACGGGTGCTGCCCCAGAGATGATCTCCACCATCCTAGATAAAGCAGAGGACCCGATCATTCTCATGCTACCAGGGCAGAAGGGACAGCCATATACTCACCCACTGCGCTGGCTGAACCAGGCTGCCCAGTGCCTGCCGGACAAAAAGGTGAGAAGGACGGATAGGGTGGTTATACATTACGAGTGCAGAGCAGTCACACAAAACTATAACGTTAATTAAGGTCATGCATTTTATTACTTCATGATCTGAAGAATTTCTTATTTAAAAAGATTCTAATATTTTTATTGAAGGTGAACATTCGAGTTGTTACCTTTGGAGGAAAGTGTCACAAGGAAGCTGTGCTTGCAGTACTGGATGAGGCTGTCCAGAAAGGCCATTGGCTGGTTTTTAACAATTGTCATTTACTGGACCAATGGGATGACGATGTGGTGTACAGGCTAACTCAATTAGTGTCCTGTACTGGTCAGGGTGAGTTGAGGTTTCATGCTCATGGTCAGATAATACTATGATACTTATGACATGATAATTGCAAAAACAAAAGAAAAAAAACTCATATTTGTTCTTTTCAGGTAACATAACTGGTGTAAAGCAAGAAAAAAATCTGAGCCCAAGCAGAGATGGTAGCAGACTGGCGCAGCCAGGCTTCAGGCTGTGGTTTATCTGCCAAGCCCAGGTTCCCTTCTCCATACCAGGTACTGACGCGCTGCTCAGAGCGAGGACACCTAAGCAGTACAGTTATCGTCTGATTCACTCTGCTTACATCAATGAATCACTGCAATATCACATGCCAACCTACACAAAATCCACATCACCTGAAGATAATTTTACTTTAATTAAGCTGTGACTAACCCAGCTTTTACTTTTTTCCAAATTCGAAAGTGGCAGTGAGGATGAATGCGACATGTCTGGTGTGCAGTTCCCCGAGGGACCTGAAGGGGGTGCTAAGTTACTCACTGCAGCAGTCTGCCTCTGCCACTTGGGCTGCCTCTACTTCTTCAGAAGCTCTTCTGCAATGTTCCATCCTGCATTCAGTACTACTGCAGCATCAAATATACCTGGGTCAGGGACATCACTATAGCTGGTGAGAGGCGGTCTCCTGTAATAGCTGGGGAGCCATTCCAGCTTAATCTTAATCTTAATCATTTTAATTTGATGGTTACATGCAGACCAAATCCTCATCTACGAGGCATCATTCCAAAACCAACATTTGAGCAAGCCCAAGGTATCCCAAACAGGCGATAGTTTATAGTAAAGGGTTCTTCATGGACACAGATGAACGGGATCAAACCATATCTGCTGCTCGGAGAGCTTGATGCAGCTCAAACTCATATCTTGCATTATTTATGTGTTATTCTCCTTGGTAGAATCCTGGCATCAGTTTTTTTCAGTTAGCATTATGTTCTTTGGTCTCCATCCAAGTTGCATTAATGAGAAGCTTCCATGCAGGACGCAGGAGGACTTGCTTGCGCTGCTGGGTGCCGAGGTCCAGATTGCTGGCCGCCTTGCTGACCCAGCTGCTGTGCTGGAGTACATAGCAGGTGCTGAGCTTTTCCCTGGATCAGAACTGCTGAACAACTGCTGACATACGCTGATGTTTTAAATCATTATTAGCACTCTAATATCCAGGCTTTTCACTTCTGTCATTTCTGAAACATTGACATTTATTTTATAAAATCTTCCTACAAACTCCTCAATTGCTTAAACTCAGCCTGGTAAGGTTTTTGCATTCACTTTCACTAACTTTCCCTCACTGTTTCCCTTATCAGCAAGTTAACCACATTCCTGTTCTGTCCTCAGCTGCTTTAGTGTATGGAGGACAGATTGCAGACTTGGTGGATTTGGAGACTGTGCAAAGCTTGGCCAGAGTCTGTGTCAGACCGTCGCCTTCTTCTCAGTGGGACAGTGGCCCCCTCTCTGAACTCTTCAAGATATCTGGGTGCTCTGGTACTCACCTATGTCTCCTCTTAAAACAGCCTCATACAACAGACTGTGAACTATGTTTTGCTGCAGAAAAACAGTCAATTATGTTGGGAATCATGATTTAAACACTGAAATTTATGAATTTGCAGTGCTGCTTATGTCCAGCCTCTTTACGCAGACAGTAATTCTCCAGTAACCCCGTGTCATTCCTGTAACAGCATTCTGTCATCTGTGTGCCATCACTTTTTTTCCTGGTCTCAGGTTTGGCTGAGCAGCTGAATGGACTGCTGGGCCAGGTTCATGGCCTCCCCCACCACAGCGACCCCACACTGCTGGGCTTTACCTTCAGGCTGGACGTGGAGCTGGTGAAAGAGCAGAGCCACTCCCTGGACCTTCTCCTTCAGCAGCTGCCCGGCCCCTGGGACCACTTACCAAGGAGCAGGATGGAAGGAGACGGCCCTCCAGGGTCTGATCTGCAGCACGTCAGGGCCAGACTGCTGACCCTGAGGGACATGCTGGACAGAAAGAGAAGCCAGAGACCTGTGGCCACCAGTGCAGTGTTCCAGCGTCCCCTGCGGCATTTCCTTAAGCAGGAGATGGACCGTCTTATGGAGGTTGTATCATCACTACTTGCAGGTCTCACACACTCTCCCCAAAACAGCGCACAGGCCTCCCCGACTCCCACTCTTTTAGGCCTGTCCTGCGTGGAAAAGCAAGCAGAGCTACTCAGTGCCTACCTGCAGGAAGAATCCAACTGCACTTACTGCCTCTCTGCGTTCATCAACCCCCACGGCTTCCTAGCGGCCCTGGTTAGGGAAGGAATCCGGGACAAGCATGGCGACATCAGCCAGGTCTTCCTGCACTTCCAGGTATGACAGTCGATTGAGGTCACAGCAGTATAATTACTTGCAATATTTAACTTTTAACCGAAATGTACACCTACTCCATTCCCTTGCATTCTCCAGAACATTACATCTGTAGTTACATACAGAAGTTTGAGGGAAACAGAGTAATATACCCATTTACTGGCATTATAGCAAAAAAATGGAATACCAGTTGATGATGTACCATTTCCCATCAGCACATGTCCTGTATGAGACACAGCACTTCACTTCTCTCCATAACTTCAGGTGCTCAGTGCTGTAGGGCTGCCAGACTCTGCTCCTGATTCTGGGGCTTACTTATGTGGTCTGGAACTGCAAGGAGCACAGTGGGCCACACAGCTGGGGGCCCTGCAAGGCACTTCCTCTTCAAAACGCTGCCCGTTTCCCATCCTGTGGGTCCGACCTAAAAGCAGGGCTGTGAAGTCGAGCTGGTCTCAGGATAACCCTCCCCCCAGTGTTCTGTCTTCCCTGCCCCTGTACCACTGCCCTCTCTACCTGGAGGGGGTGTCTGCGGACACTGGAATGAGTTTGGAGAAGAATATAATTGCACGAGTCCCTCTAGCAACCGAACTGGATCCAGGGCTGTGTGCAGTGAGGCGGGTGAGGCTGATAAGCTCTCTGCGACCCTCTGAGAGCTACAAGTTGTCACAGTGGCATTAGCCCATGGGGTTCCCAAACTTTTCAGCCCACAATCTTCAAATTAACAGTGCCAGAGACTCACGACCCCGTCCCTGTCCTGATGGGCTCCCCTTCAGTAGATGTTGATCACCAGTTGAGATTACAGTTAATTTTTTTAATAAACATACTCTGGAAATCATCTCGCCTTTGCCCATCAAAAACAGTGTACACTATATCATAAAACTGGACCAAGATTCAGTTCTATAGGTTACTTAAAGTTATTACAAGGTAAATAAAAATGACGATTCAACTCAACATTTTAGGAACAGTTCTTATTTTTTTGCCAAACTGGCTCAATATAAAACAATGTACATAAATAAAACCTTCCTCATATGCAAGTCTGTTTTCCTTTTTTATACAGAACATTTCACATTTGTACAACTGTATACAAATTCCATGACAAGTAATATTACAATTTGCTTTAAAAAGGCACTGAGAAATGACAGCTGGTTTAACCTCTATGACTTTTTGCGGATGTGTTGGTCTGGAACCACAATGCCGGCATTTCCCTTAGAGCTACTAAAGTTACTAAACATTAAGAACATTTGTTATTTACAGAACCAAACGTTGATGCCAAAATGCTTCCACACTCAAGACTGCACCATCAGGATTCTCTGTTCTCCAGTGGTCTGAGTTCCAGGGATTTTCTTAGCTTTGCATCCTTAGAGATGCTCCTCCCACCTTCTGCGGTACAGAGTTTCGATGCTCTGGCTGCAGTCTCTGTATCACGTCTTTCCAAGCCTTCCCAATCCATCCAGTCTTGTTTCCAGACAGCGTTGCTTCTCGTCAATCATCACCGTTTCTTGTACATACATGGCTTTAGCTCCAGGCCGCTAGTTTTGCTTTTCTCTGGAGCATTCCCATTCTTCACAAACTCAAAACTGTAAAAATATCTGTTGTCTATATCCTGGAGAAGGATGATAATAGCAGCATTTGTTTTGAGCCAAAAAGCAAATAGAGAGGAAATGTGTATCGGCAGAGGGACAGAACCACTGGCTTACCTTGGAAACCAACCTGAACCCAAGAGCAGACAGTGCACCCACAAAGCCGCGTACATTCTCAAATCTACTGGCCACCTCTGCTATTTTCAGCACACCCCTACACAGAGACAAACAGTGATTAAAAGGGGCAATGCCAGCCCTGAGGAGCATGGATATACATACTTCGAAAAGCAATTATGTACCTTGGATCTGCAGCTATTTAAATATCATGATGCTTAGAATAGAACACACTAATGTGTTGTGTCCAGAGAGAAGCTCTCAAAGTGGTCTGCTGAGGTGGACCAAGAGGTGACGGATTTGGTTGCTAGGTTTTAGGATCTTGACATGTGCATTAGTTACTATACACTGCAAATGAATTAGCTAGCCAACTACTGATGACTTCCTACATAAACACAAGCCTCTGTGGCAATATGCATGATAGAATAATGGGCAAATTAGAAAATGTGAAGTTATTCCCAGTCTGAACATGCCCAATCCCCTGACCCTCACCCCATCACAAGTACGCGACTGGCTTCCACCAGGAAGTCCCTGAGGTTGGTCCCCATGAGGGAGAGACAGAACACAGCAATATCCACACTGGCATTAGGAAGAGGAACCTGCAGGCAACAAGATGGAACAAAAGTGAGTGAGACGCAGGGAAGATCCTGTGGGTGCCGAGCCGAAATGCTTAATAGTGGCAGCAGCACCATGTGGACAAATGCAATCATATGACTAAAAAGTATTTTTTAAAATGCTATCTATACACCTGAAGGTAAACTTCGCATAATTTAATAAATATACAGATCTGTAAACAATACTCTTCAGCCAAAATAATTCAACACTAAAGACTAGAGGGTTTTACAAGATACAATGAGTTTAGTAGCATGCAAATTTACACAGCCAACCGGGGGAAATAGCAGTATTGCATATTGCATGTAGTAAGTCCCAAAGGGTTTGCATAGCAGACTGAACATGTAACACAAAAAAACCCAGAGCAAACTCACATTAGCCATGTCGCAAACCGTAACAAGGTCGCAGACAGGTGCCAGGTCAAAGCTGTGGACTTTGTTCCTCACACTGCGTGCTATCTTGCAGTCCCCACACCCAAAATCGGCCACTACCAGGGTGGCTGGCCTGAAACCGAATGGGAAGTTTCTCAATAACAGTACGTACTCACTCACTCATGCGCACTGCCTCTGTGCTCCCAACTATCGAAGTCATAGTTTTCAACCCGGAAGTGCATCATGGAACTCACTTGTGCTTAATGTAGGCAATGACGGCATCCACCGGATTGGCAGGCCAACGCTGAACCTGTGTCGTAAACCCACGATGGTAAATGTCGAAGGCTTGGGGGTCTTGCTTAAACATGCGGCTGGCCGTGCTGCTGGTTGAGGTGTACAGCTGCTCGTTGATGTAGCGGAACCGGGCTGCTTGCAAGCGCTGCTCCATGCGGACCTTCAGGGCAGCTGAGCGGTCCGTACTGCCCTCTGTGGTCTTCCCCCTCTCCTCTTCTACCCCACTGTGACTGTCCTCTGTCTCCTCCTGCACGATTCTCCCTTTGCCAACTGCCTCTCCATGCTGTAGCATCTTCTGCAGTTTTTTCTTTTGTGCACTCTGCTGCAGAACCTCAAATTTACTTTTGATCTTGCCATCTTTCTTCTCTCCTCTGTTCACCCCCCCAGACTTTGACGCTCGGCATGAAGATTCACCTACTACCTGCGATTCACCTTTGATCCTGCCACATTTATGGTTTTCCTTTTGGGTGGTGTCACCACCCACGGACACAGAATTTGCTTCTATTGCCCCTGCATGTTGGCTGTTCAGCTGAATATTGCGGCTGTCCAGCTTTCTCTCTTTTGTTTTACTCTTTTGTATTGGAGCACTTTCATCCTGCATTGACAAATGTGGTTTTCCACCCTTTTTTATCTGTCGATTTTCATCTGCTTTGGGGACACTCTGCAGCAGCTTTTCATTCTGCGTGTACTTGTTTTTACACTTCCTCTTGTTCTTCATCTTGTTCTTCCACTGCTGACGGCTTAGCCGTGTCTCCTCGTTACCGGCAGTCTGGCTCGTTTCCTTCTGGATATCCACCCCCTCACCTTCATTTACTGGTTTTGTCTTTTTCTTGTTCAGGGAGCCTTTTGATATGAAACAAGTTTACAAAATTCAGTAAAACCAACAGTACATCATGGACCTGGTGGATCATCATGCCTACATCTCAAAACTGGCCACTTATTTTGAAATAAACTGAGATCATTATGCAACAGATACAATTAAAATACTTGCCTTCTGATATTTTCTCATTTTTCTTCCTTTCTGTCACTATAGTTCCAGGCACCACCTCCACCTCCTTCTGCTTGCTTTCATGTTCAGTTGGTGCCGATCTCCTGTGCTTTTTGCTCCGCTTCTTCCTCCTTTTAGCAGGCAAGGTTGCTCCTTCTGTCTCGCTATCTTCGCTGCCCTCATGAGCAGTGCCGTTGGTCCAGGTGGGAAGCGAGCCCAGGGTATGGAGTGTTCGCAGCAGGCTTCTCTTCCTGCTAATCGTGGTCTGTCCAGCAAAAACCAAACAAATGACAAAGAAGGAGTTTAAGGTCTGAGCACATACAACCTTTCATAATGCATTAAGGTACTCATAATCTCTCTCTCTACAATATATTTATTATTTTTTTGTCAAAACTGACTAATTTCTTTGCAGTTGATTCCATAACTGACTAAATCTGACCAGATTCACAAATACAGTATTCACACTAATCACTTCATTCACTCAGGGTAAACTACGAACTTACCGTAGCATTGATGTTTTCTGGCATCGGCGTGCCATGGATTACCGCTTCCGTAAGAGCTTTTGCCTCTGGACCATCGTTCCATTCAGCCTCCTCAGCGAACATGCTTTTAGTGAAATCAACGCTGCTGACACTGGAGTGCTTACAAAATAGTGGACAGGACGAATTAGGATTTGATTTGCAAATATAAATCCCATCAATCTTCATCTAAGTTCACTAGTTTTATCGTGACACAATTTCTACAACTTTATGTCTCGAATTCCCGACATTCTTTAGCCACCAAGCTAATAAATTTAACATTACTGTGCCAGTTGTTACCAGAAACCAACGCATTACAGATATTATATTTTTGGGACAACTGGTTTTACCTTGGACGTCCGCTGGAGGAGACAAGATTATACTGTATTTAACTGAAATTGTCCAAAACACGTGCTCACTGTAAATTCTATCAACTACGACAGGATCCCCATTGCGCATGTTACCCAGAAGCACCATAGAGCAAACAGTCCATACCCAACCAATTACGTCATCGTTCTTGCAATGCATGACGGGACACTAAGCTTCCGATACTGGAAACCCGATTAAGCTAAATGTCTGTAGATATGCATCACTAAATATATATTTAAGGAATGTATTAAAGTTGTTCTGAAAACTAAAGCACGTCACCCCCGAGCATATAAGAACTGTTTTAATGCTAACACTATGAACTATACTATTTAAGAGTCAGCGAAGCATTTTCAAACAGTAATCTAGGGTCGTTATTATCTTAATAAAAAAACACATTCACTGTAGTTCCATGAAGGTGTTATTTATGTGTTGTGTTTTGTATTATTCAGAGAACACATCGGTACATTCACTATGAACGTATAACGCAATTGTTTTAAAATTAGTAGCCCCAGGCTAAGGGGATGTACTTCCGAAAGGGGTCGCTGTGGTGAGCGATTCGCTCTGGCATTCCGGAGAAAGGTCTCGCCCCCACGTAGCTGAGCAGCTTTACAAAGATCCTGTCGCTAGACCAAGGGTGTGGACAGCAGGGGACGAAGGGTGGCCGGCCCGGAATCGTCATTTTTGCGGAATCTGCATGAAACACGTTAACTCTGATTAAAAAGGTGAGTAACTTTTTCTAAAGGGTGCTCTTTAGCTTCGTTTAAGCGGTATAATATCCGACCTTTAGCTAGCCGTGTGTTTGGCGATTGCAGCGGACATTTGGCCTGTGATTAGTGGTGTAAGTGCAAAGAGACCCGCTGCCGTTTAGTCCGTCCCGCTACCCTCTGAGGGACACCGTAATGTACAGAAAAAAATCTGAATTTTATTGATTTAGTGAAATGTTCTGTGTGAAATAATATATAAATATTAATATTTACACTTGTTTATTGTTGGCTGCCTTGCAAAAGTTTCTGTGTATAATTGACTTCAATCAGCTTTCTGTTTAAACTTTGTGGCGAGGTATCAATCTGTAGGTAACCGCTGACTGCTTTGTAGAGTTATAGTTCATTACAAGTGTTAGGCGACATTTATATGGCAGAAAGAGTGGCTGTAATATTAATTGTGGCTAAGTAAATGGCAGCTCTGGTACGTTTTTAACTCTGAGGTGTTTCAATGCGGTTTAGAGACCGAGGCGTGTACGTGCGGTTAATTACGTGAGGTAGCTTTCAGTTTATAGGGGACAGGGAGTGTAAGACGCAAAAGGCTCCGGTTATTAGTTTACAGATGTACTTCAATTGCCACAGATTTTTTTTCAAAATAAAATTCCAGAAGTCGTGACTTATATAAAGCATTTGTAAGGCATCTCATCAATTTCACTGAGGAGTTTTTCAGTACACCTCAGCGTCTGATAATAAACTTAAAATGCGAGACATCAACATGTGGTAGTAACGTAACAGAATTATGAGCCATTATGAAATATGCTTTGCTTTATACTTGAACATGTGTGTGCAGGTACGTGGCAGATGGTATCTGTTCTGCAGCGGCTCATCTCGATAAGCGTCTCGTATGTTGTGAAAGGCAATGTTTAAGCGCTAAACATGACACTGTACTTTACGTTTTGTCATACTTTTGTTGTTTTTACTTTATAATGGCCAGCAGTGTTTTATTAACCTACATATCAAGTAATGCCCAGACATATAAGTTCTACACTCTGTTGTCCATACATTTTTAATGGTTTAATTTTACTGAAATGTTTAGTGTAATCTCTTTTTAGGGAGCATATGACATTTTCTTGCACAGTTTAGACATTTATGTGTATTCTTTTTCTACCACAATAGTAGGATTGAATAAAAGGACCAGCGTTCAGTTTCTGTAAGCTCTAATCAGTAGCTCAGGCCAGAGGCTATGGGAGTCTGTTGTACTGTATAAGGTTGTGGCAGTGCTGTCTTGCGCAAACCTGGACTGTTTGCTCAATACGGCTTGTTCTTCCTGGGTGTGTCAGCTGTATTTTACACCTCCTCAGAGCAGGACTCTGCAGGCTATAGATTGGTTTTGCATCTGAAGACCAAATTAGCAAAATTAGCCCAGAGTTATATAGCAGGTTTTGGTATTTAAGTTAAGCAGTGTTTTGTTGCAGGTGTTATCCATGGATATTTAGAGAGAAAACAATTAATTTAATATGTTTTCATTATGTAATTTGAAGTTCCAGTTTTTATGCACTTCTATGTCTTTATCTTCATTGTCACGAATTTACAAACCTGACATGTTTTTTTGACATGTAGCCAAAAGCCTGCAAATCCTGGCGCTTCTTATCTCTGCTGTTGCCTTGTGTGTTTCAGCACTGTAATGAGAGAACACCTCTGTCACGTAGCTGAGCGTCTTCGTGTCTGCGTGGCCTTGTCTGCACCCCCTTGCTCCCTGTGGACGAATGCCCTCCAGGCCCCAGTGGAATTTCACGTGCTGCGTTCCTCCCGCATCCAAACTCGACAGCCTCAGCGCTGCGCCAGCCTCTAGGGGCACACCGTTCAGTTAGGGGATAGAAGAGGGTGCCACCATGGACGACATTTTCACCCAGTGCCGGGAGGGCAATGCTGTGGCTGTGCGCTTGTGGCTGGACAACACCGAGAATGACCTCAACCAGGGGTGAGTTTCTATGGAATGCAAGAGGGGGAAGGGTGCTTCAATGTATTTGAACCCTGCTTTGCCTTGGTCTGCTGAGAAGAGGATGGAGACCTGCTTTTGGTGCACTTAGGAGCCAAACTGACTCACAAATGTGGTACAGCTATATTAAGGAAACATGACTTTGTTTAAAAGAAATGGATAATATACTTGGAAAATAAGACTTGTTTTGAATGTCAAGAAAGTGATGAAATAGTTAATAAATGGCTATGATGGACATATCTAATTGCATGTTCTCAAGGGTCTGTTTGGACATTGGTACATGTTTAAGATTTAAGATAGTCTTGGGTGAACTTCTGCTGCATGTTGTCATGTTCTTTATAAATGGGTCAGTCTGTGGTGAAGTGAAGAGCTGCGACTATTTTGGTGCATTTAACTTTTCTAGTTGTTTGGTTCATTGGGAAGACAGACAATTTTTAATTTATTTTGTCTTGGAAAGTACCCTTGAGTTGGCCTATTTTTCCTACCCTGTAGTATACCTGTTTTCAGTTGCCTTAGAATTATGGAACAGCCTGATTTCCTAAGCTGATATTATAGTAGTAAACTCTAGCACTGCAAGGCTATTTGTGTTCAAAGTTAACAGCTCAAAAGTGATCAGAACCTTTATTTATTACTGAAGGTTGAATGCACATATGTATATTTCTGCAAGGGCCCACATTCTCCCACATGCATTTTGGGCCGCTGTGGGAAAATTAATGTAGGTCATTTATACATTGGGGGCTGTTCATTGCCCAGCTAGCTGGGAGCTGTTAGCTTGTGTAACATCCTCGTATAATTGGTTACAGACCATGTTGGTAGAGGCTGAGTGTCCCATGGAGAGGTATTTTGTTTTTACAGGTTTCTTTTTATCATGTGCTCCATTTTCTTTACAATAGGGTGTCACTTGCACAGCTGATAGACTCACGACATAAAAAAAAAGCTTAAAGCGCATTTGCCCTGGCTAACCATATATAAGCACTGTCTCAACTAGTACATGAATGCATGTCTGAAATAAAATGGCTGGAATGTGGTTTGTGTTCTCATGAGAGTTAAAGGATCTGGTCTCTGGTATCAGATGGCCAGTGCCATCTTGTGGGAGGCTGAGGGCCTCGGGTTTAGACAAACAGGCTCTCTGGGCCTCCACAGCCGCAAGCAAATGACAGAAGCAGTATCCGCTCTGGCCTCCTGTCGCGCCTCTGGGTAACTCGACACGCAAAAGCAGGGAGGACGCCAGTCGGCGGAGAGGAAGTTGCCTAGCGTCGCCGCTAAATTCAGCCAGCCCTACTAAAAAGGGTGTTGCAAGTCAAGTCTCCAAATCAGTGGTGGTCACGTGGAAGGCAGTTAAAGTTGTGCTTTTTTTAAAATCTGCAACACTATTCCTCATTGCTTCTGCCCTTTTAACATTATATTAAATATGATTTTGAAAGGCCAGTGTGTTCTTATGTAGTAAATGGCTTTCAGTGTTATATACTGTAAATGTATGCACAATGTCCAGTAGTGAAAAGGATGTGGTGGGAGGGGTGTTTTCCCCTTTCCTGTACAGAGAATTGTCCTACCCATCCCCACTCCTTTCCTAAAAGGGGAAAAAAGTTTAAAATGTGATATTACTGCTTCTGGTGTAGTAATATTGTGTACGGTGCATTTTTGGATTGCGTGTGAAAATCTGTTCCTTTGCCCATGCACACACATACCATACTGCAAAACGTATTCCATTAGCTGATTGCTCTGCTTCATTTTTTTTCTTTTTCGGCAAGGAACACCGCTCTGAGCCTCTTGGAGCTCTTCTTTTTATAGTGATTGCTTTTATGGATCTATTTCTTTGAGGGGGGGTTGCTCATGTGCTCATGCTGCGATTGATTGTTCACTTGCATGGTTGAAAAAGTGATAGTGAGATCTAGGAAGGCTCAAGATTTCCATGCATGATGCTAAACAGTGTATTCTTGGTCATTGTCAATGTCAAATAACCACAACCAAAAGGAGGAAAAAACAATAACTGTGAAAGACAGAGAGAGATGTCGTTTTTCTGGTGAACGAAAGCGAAACATTTTTCTCCACTTGATTCTGACTTCCTCTTGCCCAGCTCTTGATACTTGATAGCAGCTTGTTTCCTTTTGGCCTTGCGTGCATGACAGAATGACTCCCATTTCCCACCCATTTCCCTTTGATCTGTTTATTCCCTGCTGGTCTTCAGCATAATTAATCACAGGAATGTATGTGGTGGGTGTGTTGCATCCATGCTTGTAAAGATACGTATGTACAAATAAATATAGAAATTTGATCATCTTGAAATGTAACTGCTTCCCTCCATAATGGGGAATTCCACTCTGAAAATGCTCCCCATTATCAAAGAAATTTTATTACCTTCCATTTAAACAGGGAACAATCTGAGTTTCTTCTAAAATAAACTTTCCTATTCATATTAGACCTTTTTCCAGTTTCACAGTGTACAAGGACTCATGGCTAATGAAATGAGAACCTCACCTTCTGTGGGGGAAAAAGGAAAGTAAAGCTCCAGGCTTCAAACTGGTATTGGCAACTGCTGCACACCTGGAGACGAAAGACGGTCGAGGTTAGGGGTGAAACACTTACTGACTTCATGGTAAATCACCGTAAAATTCCTGATGGTTAGTAGTATTACTGTTTCAAATTGTAGTTAACATTAAACATTAAATGCTATCCAGCATCAACCAAAATTAGCAAGTCTCTCCCACATGCATATGCGCAGGCGCAGCATGCAAGGTGGGTTTACTTCATGTCAGTGACATCATGGTGGATGGCGGTTATAGTGATTTTACAGTCTTATAAGAGGATTAATTCTGATGTGTGGTTGTATTTTGGTTTTTAATCTTCATGACCACCACCTACTACTATATCGTGAATGTAGGACTGGACGATATGGCAAAAATTTATATCACGATATATTTCTTAATTTTGGTCGATACGATATAATTCCGATATCGATATGGACAATATTAAAAAGCCTCAGGAAAAAACTGCCGAGGACACGCACAATGGTTGTCTATAATAAGTCTATAATACCTCCAGGCTCCTCCTATTAAAATTATATAATTTTTTTTAAAAATAAAAACAGTACAAAAAAAAAAGCCTTTACAAACAAGAAATGTGAAATAAACTATCAAATAAATAAAACTCTCAGACTCAGCTTATTAACAATAATATATTTCCATTTGAACTAGAACAGGCTGATTATTCATATACAGTCGAACCCGGTTATGTTGCCGGCCTAGGGGGTTGCCAAAAAGCGTCGAGATAACCGATG